ACCTTTAAGACTAACAACCTAACCACATAAGGATTGTGCAGTCATAGAAGCAGGGTGCTGTCTTATTTTAAATTCTTTAGCTTCATGCAGGAGCCAAAAATGTTTTTAAAAAACAATGGAGAAATAGAAAAGAAAAAAGAAAAGAAAAGAAATGAAGCTTGATGTCAGATAGCCCAGCTGTTAGAGGGGCCTACTTAGATGTAGCTGTCTCCTTTTTATATTTTGGTACCAAACAGCTGGTTGGCAGATGTCCAGCTTCATATACATGATATGTATAGAATCCATGCTCTATTGAGTAAGGTAATTTAAGTATCATATCCAGGTTCTTGCCTATTCTTAGATTCTGTCTGTCTATCTGGGTCTGTCTGTCTATCTATCTATTGTATCTATCAATCTATCATCAGCTTGCCTACCTACCTACCTACCTACCTGTCTGGCCTATATGATTACATTTTATTTTTTCTTTAATATATTGGAAATGAATATAGTGTACCTTTCTTGACATTGTTCCAAAATATACTGATAAATACATTTATTAACTTTATATTTTGCTGAACACCCTTTCTCACAGACTTGTTTATCAATCTGTATTTTTTGGAAATTATGATACATTTACTTTGGAAAACAAATAGGAATATCACATTAAAATATTATTTATGGGGAATGTGATGTGGGTTTCATGCTTGGTTTTCTGATGCTGTTTTTTTTGGTTGCTGTTTTTTGGCTTAGTTCTCTGGGAATGTCCCCCCCCCACATTTAATTTTAGACCATTTATTTTGCCTGTGGCTACTATTGCACAGTCTGCATGTGGCTGTTTACATTATGTTACATGTTATTACCATATAAGTTGATGGAAAAATTTAGCTGAGAAAGAGGCAGAGAGCTCAAGGGAAGCCAGATAGTCATGAAATAATTTTATACATCGTTATAGATGACCATATACATTATTGGTCCTGATTTCAGAAACAGCTTCTAAGTCTTGGCATGGAACAAGAGAAAATGCTGAGAACAAATGCTCCTGTGACTACAAAAGTTCAGCAAATGTCAGAAATAGAAAAAGAAGAATGTGAGATCACCAAGCAACAACTGCACTGTTGTTTTAGTTTGTTGAATGGGATCCAAATATGTTTGCTCTAGGTAGACCTCTATTTTAGAGGCTGTGGTCTTGTAAAACAATAAAAAAAATGCTCTTTTGGCAAATTTCTAACTCACTGATTTCCTTTCTTTTTTATATAAGAAGGATGAGTGAAAACTGCCATCTTTTATTTGGCTAACCACTGTTTATTGATATGTTCAAACCCTGGGAGCTCTTTTAGCTTAAATTCTAATAAAAAACCCCCCGAAGCTCATGAACTTCGGTTCGATGTTGAGTGACTTAGACTTCCCGGAGCTTGAATGCTGTAGAGCTGTGGCTAGTGTACAGCTGAAAGAAGGAAGGGTTTTTTTTTTTTTTTAATCTTTACATAGCAAAAATGGAAACTGCAGAAAAGGGACTATGTGAGCCTGTGGTTTGTTACACCTTGTACCAATAGCACAGTTTCCTGCTACTCCTAAACCATCTCTATCTATTAGTTTATTAGATCCCCCCCCCGTCCACCATTATTATTTTTACCAATAACTCAAGGTGGTGAACACATCTAATCCTCCTTCCTCCTCCTATTTTTCTCACAACAACAACAACCCTGTGAGATGGGTTGGGCTGAGAAAGAGTGATTGGCCCAAGCTGACTCAGGTGGCTTTCATGGCTAAGGAGGGACGTGAAACTCACCGTCTCTTGTTTTCTAGTCTGGTGCCTTAACCACTAGACCAGGGGTAGGCAACCTTGGTTCTTTTATGACTCGTGGACTTCAACTCCCAGAATTCTGAGCCAAGGTTGCCTACTCCTGCACTAGACCAAACTCTATGGATGATTCATGCCCAGAACCAGTACATCCTTAAAAGACACTAGAACACTCTGTGTATTTTAAACAGGTAGATCTGGTTTATTTGACTTTTAGTTGAAGTTTTATGTTTTCATTCGTTGCAGCTTAGTATATAGCATGTTACATGAACCCAAATCACTGTGGCTAATTCAATAGATGAGGACTAAGATACAGGACTTTCTCTCCAGTTGTTTTGTGTAGAATATTTTATTGTTGTTTGTTAACAATCTAAATGTTGTTAGGATAGTTAAAACTTAAATACAATAGTGGACAGAGTTGCAAGGCTGTGGAAAGAATGGTCCAATTTATTCTGATCTCTGAAAGAAAGGAGAATTTGGTTATAAACCCTGAGGCAGACATATAAATAGAGCTTGATTTTCTGTGATTCTTTTTTTTTTTAGGTAGCCAGTGTTCTTGCATGTGCAAAACTCCCATGTTGCTGCAATAATACAGTTTGCGTTGTGTGGTTTCTGTGACCTTCCATTGTAAAAAGGTTTCTGAATATACAGTTAAAGATCTAAGTTTCAGTATACTGAAACTAAATATTAGTAAAAGACTGCTAATTTACTCATGGACTAGTGTAGGGAAATGTGTCTAACTGCGGGAACTTGAAGTTGTGTGGACTTCAGCTCCTAAAATTGTGCAGCCAGCATGCCTGTCCACACATCTTAAGTTGTTGAGGTTAAGAAACACTGGCTTAGAGAATTTGCATAGGCTTAAGTGGTATAAGATGATTGAATTAATAGAGGGGGAAAAAAGTCATGGATTTTGTTCATATGTTGAATCAATATACATAATATGCTAATTTTGTATTGGTGTAGTGCTCTGTATTGCTGTAAATGCTGTGAAAAATATAATGTGTATATTTATTCCAGAGCATATACCTTCTATACTGACAAATCAATGACCTCTTTTCTTTGTTCAAATTCATAAATAATTTATAATTAAAAATAGAGAGAGTTTGCCTAAGCAAACTGATACATCCTGGAAACTCTATATTTAGTCTTTAAATTATTACAGTTCTTTTTTTACTGCTACTGAGTAGTAAATCTTGCAACATTGATATATTAATTAGCATATTTCCACTCTAGTGCTTGCTTTAACCACAGTAGGGAATTATGAATGATGGTTCATGTGTTCGTTTATCCTATTCCCAATCCATTGTTCAGCTTTTTGTAAGTATCCCAGTAGTCAATGTATTTTATTTTATTTTTCAAATTTCTGAACCACCTATCTCCCTCAAAGAGGGGCTACTGTATAATCAAGGTGTTATTTTATCTCTGATCAATAGAGGGCACTCCTATAACAAACATAAACATATTTTTGCCACCTCTGATTATTGTATAGCTATTTTCATATTTCAGAAATATGCTGAATATATAAGCTTAGTTGTAGACTGTAATCTGAAAATGTCTGATTTCCTAAAAATATATCTGAGATCAAGCAATTTAGGTCAATATTTCAGGTATCAGTATCTTCTTATGGTCTTTTATATACCGTAACATCTCTCTAATCCAATCTTTTTGGTGGAAAAGGAGTTATCTTTGTTCGGTTTGTTGAAAGTTTCTAATCTTTGCAAGTGTAGAAGGCTCATCAAATGATTGTCCTGGCGCACTTTTGCCTTCTAATGTCAGCTGATGACTGAGATTATTCCCACTGATATTTCTGGCAATCCCTCTCCAAAATTATTTGTCCTAAGATGATCAATATTATTACTGCCAAAGACCACCCTCCCCAAATGTATAGAACCAATTAAATTTCTTTGTATATTGAAATACTAAGGACAGTGCTAGAAACTAGAATTTGGAAAGTGAAAAACATTGCTAAACTGATGCTACAGTTAATTTTAGGAAATATTGTGGAAGTTTGCAATCTTTTTAGAGGAAAACGTTTTTAAAAATTCAAGTTTCACACATATGTACTTCATGGTTTCTGCTTGATGTAGTCCTTGAGTCCTTGAGGAAGTCCCCAAAATTAAGTGTCATGAAAAGGTTGTCCTGCCCATGTTTTTACAGTGTGTGAATTCTATCGTCGTCTGGACGATGGCAGATAAACTGATACAATGCATGGAAAAAGAAGATGTTATTGATTCAAAGTCCTATAATTTAGGTTATGGTGTACAGGAACCCTTAGATGATGAAACACCTCCATTGAGTAAAGAAATACACAGTTAGAAGAGATTCCAAATGTTATGTTGCCTTTACATGTTCCGCTGGTATTAGGAGCAGCCTTTATAATCTTTGTCTGGCTCAACTATTTGATAAAGATTCGATGAGATTTCATTAACGTTACATTAATGATATCCTGAATGGAATGTTGTGTAACTTTAATGATCCATCAGCTCCTCTAATTGATACAATATGCAGTTACAAGAATGGTTAGAACGGTTTAGATATTACTCATTTGGTCATCAGTTTCTTTCTGGGCTGAATGTAATATGCTAGCACTAGTTTTTAAATGATCTGAAAAAACCATATCTAATGGTTATTCTTTTCATATGATTCTGCCAGGCTTGAATATCACTTTCAGGTAATTTGTTTTCTTACAGATGCATAATAGGTATTTGTTTGGCAGGTACCAGTGACAGAGCCCTTATTCCTTTCTTGGTGAGATTTAGCAAAGCCCTACCTTCTTGCATTTAAACATCTTTCAAGGATATATTGGCGTAACCTTTTAGTGTTAGATTTCTGCTATTTCAACATTGATACTTTTACACATCTTAGTAAAGCTGAATATTTGTGTGGGTATGTGTATTGCTAATTATGAGCTTAATGTGCATGTGTATTTTATAATTGTGCTTTATTGTAAATTTATTTGATTTACTCAAACAATAAAGTAGAAATTTAGAGTGCAATTGTCAAGCAGTTGGATTCCTAGTTTGGTTTTTAAAAATGATCTCATACATCAAGCTCTTCTGAAATTTCTGGGTCAAGTCTACATCTGTTTAATTTCAAGTGGCTGTAGAAGACTAGATTTCCTACTAGGAGCCAACCATGAGATAAATGTGCAGTTAATCTAGTCTCTGAATACAGTTTAAAACATATGTGCAGTATTTTATAACTGTCCATTATTTTGCAGTGATAGCCAGCGGACTGATAGCACCATTGCATCTCTTCCTGACCTAGGATCAGTGGCTCCTGAATTTCCTACTGAGATAAAGCAATCCGACCAAGAGATTGGAAAACCCATACCTGAAACCAAGAGGTATGTTGATTCCATTGGACAGAAGAAAATTCTGTCCAAAATTCTATGTGAGCCCTTTTTAGGTTATCACTATTATTATGTCATGTATGGCATGGAAACAAAATGTTTTAATTAGTGTAATTAATATACTAATCAACTTATGCTACAAATTAACAAACTAACTGGCTGAAATTGAAGGTGCATTTTGATAGTTTCACAAATACACTGTCTTCATTTTTCTGCCAAACTTGATGGAAAAAATGATTTCAACCCTGCATGCACTCAGATCAAGCAGATGGTTTGCATTTTGATATAAAATCACTGTGGATTTTCTTTTTTGCATACCACCATACATCATGCTGTTGGAGAAAGTAGTGTTATAAACAGTGAAGAATTGTAAAAAGTTAAAATTGCTCTCTTTCAGTAAGTCTTCAGGTGAAAGTTGTCATTAAATTAGAGGCATCTTTGGGGTAGGTAGAGGTATGATGTTTGAGAAAATGTGATGTTTTTATGGTTTTCTTATATTGTAAGCTGCCTGGAATCTATTGATTCTATAAAATCAGATTCTAATGAAAATATACTTGGAAATTTAACCCCCCCTAATATATTCCAAATACATCTGATGATCCTTTAAACATTTTCTCAGCATCTGTTGTGTTTATACGAATTATTATACGAATCCTCTAAGAATATATATAAATCTTGAAGCAACATTTGTTGTAATATTTATTTTCCATTAAGCTCTTGAGGATTTGTAGTTAACCTTTTCTGTCTAAACACCGTAAATACTATAATTCATCCACATTCTTGGAAGCATTTTTGTCATTCACAGGCTTTTTTTATTCTATCATTCGATCCAAGAATATGCCATTAGCATAACCCACATAATTTTGTGGCACTCTGTAGCATAATTCTTTTCACTCTGTTCCAAGTAGTTTTCATATAATCTTTCTATATTTTTAGTCATCTTATAGAGAGATAATTTATCTTCCAATATTTTTTTCAAATAGGATGCATATGTTCCCTTCCTTTCGTCATTCTACATCTGCTCTTTTTTCTTTCATTTCTTTTCTTTTCTTCCATGTCTATTTTCCCATTTTTCACACTATCAAATAATCTGTGTCTCACATTCATAGTCTCCAATATTCTTCAATAATTTTCTCAACATTTGATTACAAATACTAAGTCATAAATGCTGATGAAGACATGACGTTTAGACTATGTATATGAAACAAGCTTTTAAGTAAATATTCAGCAATCTTTGGTCTCTGAAGGGCGTAATCACTCTCATCTCATTTCCATCAACTTATCTATCCATGTCAGATAAAAGAATAATAACCATTTCCACATTGCATTCATTCCCCAAAACTCATCTTGTCAGATCCTGTCAGAAGGGGGGAGGGGGAGTAAGGGGATATAGGGAGGGGAGATGAGACAATGAGAGGAATCAGAGGTGCCACCCCGGAATAGAGCCTGGCAGATCCAAGGACATAAGTGAGAGAACGGAATGCAAATGCCAACCAAAAGGTGCCAAACTTTAGGGCTGTTACCAAAACACCTAGTTTGAATACCATTGGACATTTATGAAAAACCCAAGGGAGGAGGGTCCAGAAGGGAAAAGCACTGGGTTTACATGGGAATATTCAGATCTGGCTTTGCTTGTGCTGTAACCACTTGGCTTTAGTAAAAGTATGCCTTTTGCTACAAACTGAGTTGAAGGTATTTCTTTTCAAAATGCCCAATCTGGGACAGGCCCGACACATCTCTACTTCTTTCATTAGCACCACTCCACAGCTACAGTAACATGTGGCTATGACAAATTTATGAGCTAGGAATTACTACTTATATTTTCATTGAATTTTAAACTTCCATGCATGTATTCACCAAGTCAACTTGACAAGATCAGACCATATCCATTCAGATTTATTCCATCCTTTCCTTTCTCTCAGTTTCACAATTATCTATTTTTAAAAAGATTTCATTTATTAATTCTTGCTCCTTACTATATACTCCTCTTAGATTACAAGCCCGTATGCCATTGACGTCAACAAATGATCCGTGAACACTAACCTTCCACTGCCCATTATGGCTCTAGTTAATCAAGGTTTCACATAATGCTTTTTAGTGAGATAAAGGGTAGATTAGATTGCCAGCTGTTCCCCCACATAGCATTATAAAAATACAATACTAGTCAGTTTGGGCTTATTTTGGCAGAATGCCACGAGTTCACCCTAATCTCAGTTTTATGCTGTTTTATTTCAGCCAGACCCTCTATTCTGAAGACTGCTTTTCAAGACAACATACTACTGTTTTACATCCCAAAATTGGGAGATACTATAGTGTACTTACACATTCAGAATACTATTTCCCTTTAACAATAAGAATTAAAAAACAGATGGTCATATAGGACATATCTCATTGGTAGCCCATACATTACATACATAATTTATGATATCTGATTTGAATTTACAAGTATTGTTGTTTGGTATGATTTTATAATATTGGGTTGCTGTAGTATGGAGAATTTATTATTTAGCAACATTGCTAAACTAAACTGAGATTTCTTTTTAAAAACAAAATATATCCTTTTAGTATGCTCAGAAAAATACTGTACATAATATTTGTGCTAATATGCTGCTACGTATATTAGAAGTAATAACTTGACAAACTAAAACATTTTTATTTACATGGGAATACGCCCACAACATAATATACAATTTTAAGAATGTTAAGGTTTTACCACCTTTTGGGAATTCTTGTATATATGTTTGTATGTATTATGTATGTCCCATCTTTGGGAAAAAACATGCAAATATTCCCAAAAATCTGAAAGTGGATTAATGCTTTTTCCCAGGACTGTAGATTATCTGAAATCTGAGTTCACCTCACAGGACTTCAAACCTCCTCTTAGCAAAGGCAGATTGAAGAACAGATATGACCGGCATATATGCGCTGTTTATATTGTAGCTCATTTGATATAGAAATGATTATTCAATTCATTTGAATGAACATTTTAACCATGTTTCTGGAATTATTAAATTCTGCTATGAATCCTGTTCTGTTGAAATATTGTCTAATTTTCAATCAGATGGTTGCATTTTATGTTGCATGTAACCTTCCCATTCCCTCCCCAGTGTTTAAGCCAGCTGAAATGAGACATATGCTCACATAGATATCAGGTGCAAAAAAAAAAAAAAAAAAAGAGCAGCTGCTATACGTGGCTTTATACTCTCATATTCATATTCATGAAAAGGTCATGGTATGGGATTGAGCTAATTGAGCCACACCTTCCCAGGGGACCATGTTGTCTTCCGCCCAATTGTTCAAGTTAGCAGTTTAGGGCAACTGTCCTATCCATTACCTGAATCCCAAAGAAATATATTCATTTAACACGCATCAATTAACAGAAGAGGAAATTGTAGGACAAGTGATATGTTGTCTTTCCTTCCACATCAGCGAATAAAAACGGCAGGAAAGGAGGGGTAAAAAAACTACTTACATGATGCATACTACATGAAACATGCATAGAACTATCCTTGCAAATACATTGCCAAAGAACCAGCTCATCAGTAGTTTCGTCTTGGCATTATGCCTAATGTTGCACATGAGCAGGAAAACATACCACATCATTACAGGAACTTTGTAATTGATTGCTAATGTAGCTTTTTAATGAGAATTGATTAGAAAACCTATAAACTCAGTTTCTTTTGTCACCCTATTTGTTTTTTTCTGAGAGTATTGTTCAGTATTATTTTTTCTTTGTGATTTAAAGCATTCAAGCTACAAGTGTTAGAATTTAACACCCATGTTTTTTTGTAAATAGTTCCAGCCCTAAGTTTAAATAAATTCTCGGTATTGACTTACTGTGTTATGAAATAACGTATTTTAAAATCATGATTTGCTGTTCCTACCTGTATGTGCATGTTTTAAGAAAGGCAGACCTATAAGAGGATATTGAGACTGAAAATAGCCCTTTATCAATTGATGGATTATCAAGGCTACAAGTTGGTAGAGGCTCCTAATAAAATTCAGAAGAATTTGTTTCAGAGTAAATATGTGCAGGATTGGTAAAAACATCATTATGAATGCTTCTTAAAAGACACGAGAAAAGTGTTTAGACAAGCTTTTCAATGTGATGTTCTCTACAGTTGTTGGGATTTTAATTCCCAGCATATAGTCTCATCATGTTGGAAGGATGAAATGTTGGGAAAGTCTGAACAAGGCAAATATTAATGAATGATAATACAAAATAAATGTTTAAGTGTTTTGGATATACTTAAGGATTCAAAGGATTTGACTGAAATAATGCATTCTATTTTTTCTCCATTTTATTCAAACTAATAGCAAAAGCAGTCATTTCCAACTAAATTTGATTTATAGCTTCTGATTGCTGTTCATACCAATGCAAAAATATTCTCCCTCCCTTGCTGATCAAACACGGCTTCAAAAGTACAGTGAGCATTTATATGAACCCCCAGCTTTCATCCCTAGTTAAATGTAAGCATGAATAGGTACAAATTATTATACAATTTTGGCATATCTGTAGTCTGTCGTAATCCTACCTCTGCCTACTCCTAGTTATACCGTTGAGGAAGGGCTTATACTTATTAATGGCAAGATTTCCCTGTTCTCTGATTCAGTCAGATGGCTTTGTTCTGCTTTGTGAGACCCTTTGACAAGTAAAACTTTTGATCTTTTATCTTCTGTCATTCAGCTTTACCAAGGCAATAAATAAATTAAACCCCTCACGGGTCCTCTTCATCTACAATACTTTCCTTTAGATACTTCTCTTAAACAATTCACAGACTTTGGGCTATTCTCTAATTAGCAAGCCTTTAGCGGTAAAGATAAAATACAAGTTCTGTTTCCAAGATTAAGTAGGAAAAAGAAAATACAATGATAAAAGATATATGCACTGAATACAAATAATCAGTTATCTTCCTTTATACAGTATCCTGATTTGTTCAGTATAATGGATTCTTAGCTAAACTACCTTGTCTTATCAGTTCTGCTTACATCTT